TGGAGGGGGCAGAGGGCCGGCTGCTGCCCGGGGAGCCACGGTGCCGGCCCGCCCCGCAGCCCCAGTGACTCGGGGCTCCATCAGCAGCCGGCTCAGGGCCACAGGAGCCTGGAGAAGAAGCCATGTGGCCCCGGCTGCGGCACTGGACAGGGGCCCAGCTGCCAGCCCCATGCACCGAGCGCCGGGGACAGGGGGCTTCTCCAGGCTGAGGCTGGGCCTTCCAGGCCGTCCTTACCAGGACCTCAGCGAACTTCCACAGTTGCTTATCCTTCACAGGATTTGCAAGATCTCTCCTCTTCAGGACCTTGGCCATGCTGAGCAGTGCTCTCTGAGAGGCCTGGAGAGCAGCAGAGACCCGCAGATGGCCCCACAAGCCAGGGCACAGGAGCCGCATTCGTGTGCCAAGGCCTGCAGGAGGCTGCAGCCGGCAAGGTGCCAGGCCTGCAGGAGGCAGCCGAGCCCCCTCCCCGGGTGACAGCAGCAGCCCACGAGTCCTCACCTCAGCCACCTGCTGGTTCTCATCGTGGCAGTGGAAGAAGAGTGGCAGCAGGCTCTGGCGCACATGCATCTTGAAGGGCTTTTTACCCTCTTCCACTAAAAAATCTTGCATTTCTTGAAAGAGGATCATGGATATGAGCTGCACATGGCTATTATCCTGTTTGAAAGGGAGGAAAACCTCAGCAATGTTGCTTGGTGCTCACCTGGGTGAAGGTTTAAAATCTACAGGGCACAAAGTTGCTGTGGCTGGGGGCAAAGAGCCTTACATGGTCAAAGAGTCGCAGAAGCACCTCAAGCAGCTGCAGGATGATGGGGCTAGGTATCAGCATATCCTTGTCAAAGACTATAAAGCTGAGTGAAGTGAGTGTCATTGCAACTATTTCTCCATCTGTGTCCTGCAGGAGCTCCACAAGACTTTCAGTCAGGCTCCAAAGTCGTTCAGCCTGTGTAGAACACAAGTCTGTGAAACCCCACCCTGCTGCAGCAATGCCCAGAGGCCAAAGGCCTGTCCTGAAACACTTGGACAGCTGGGAGCAGCTGCCTTTTTGCCCAAAGCCCAGCCACACCCAAGCAACTGCATCCCCCAGCACCACACTGCCCACACAGCTTCAGCTGCTGCCCCCTTCTCACCATTGAGGAATCCTCAATGAGAACAAGCAGCGCTCTAAGTGCCAAGCGATGCCTCTCCCTGCACTTGCTCTGCAGATTCTTTGACATGATCTCCAGGACGCTGTCACTGCATTCACTCAAGTTGAGGCAATCCAGGATCTGAAAGGCACAGGGCAGTGACTGGGGAGCGAGCCGGCAGGAGCATGGAACCACACAGGGCTGGGCCCAGGCGGCAGCCCAGGGCATGGGCACCGTCCCAGGCAGCTGCAGCTATGAGAGGGCCGAGAGGTGGCAGACAGCTCTGCAGGGAGGCAGTTCTGGCCATGGGGCTCACCTCCACAAGGAATGCCAAGACGGGAAGATCCCAATATGGCTCCTCCCTCCTGAAAACCTGCAGAAAGTGGAGTGCAATCCCAGAACACAAGGGTATGGATGAATGTCGCATCTCCCTGCAAGGGTGAAAAAAGAACCAGGATCCTGAGCTGGAGGGCAATCTTCTCCCAGGAATGACTAAGTTCTGGTCTTTCACCCCCATACCAGAGGGAACCTGGGCCCTTTGGGAGGTGGCTCCTTCTCAGCCTTTTCCAGTGTCCTTGGCTGTTCCCTGGTTACAAGACCTTCTGACCCACGACAGTGGTGACTGTGTGGGGCACCCAGACACACAGGGCACAAATGCCAGAGGCAGTGGGGAGAAGGGGTCTCACCTGGCCAGCAGACCCACAGCATGATGGTGGGTGTCAGCGCAGAGCAGCGTGTCCCAGCCACGCTTGCGTTCCATTGACAACACCACTTGCTCACGATGCATTCGGCAGAGTAGAGACTTCAGGGCTCGCACTGCAAACCTGTGTGCACAGCAAAGCCCAGGTCACGCTGGGAGCACTGGCTCCTGCCCTGCGGACATGGCAGGAACGGGAGGAGTGGGATGGAGCACCTGTTGGGGCTGATGGCAAGGCCGTGTTGCTCCTGGCATGCCTTCCAGAAGGTATCAACCTCCTGTGGCATCTCCAAAGTGCTGAAGAACACTTGGAAGAGCAGATGGACTAAGACGCGAGGAAAATACGCCTTCACTACCCGTGGGACACAGGGCACCTGAAGGAACTTCCACATCACCACTGTTGCCTGCAGAGGACAAAGCACCCAGGGATAGTGCCCAGTGCCAAGGTATCTGTGTGGCAGGCGTGGCAGGGAAGGCCAGGGGAAAGCCTTGGGGAGCTCCACGCCTGGTGCCCCTGAAGCTGCCCCTAGGCCAGGTTTCAGCCCAGTGCCTGAGGCAGGGAGATGCAGTGGGGGAAGGAGGAAACGGAGCTGCTGAAGAGGCTGTCGGCCATGGGGTGAGCAAAGGCCTGTTCCAGAAACTCACAGCCAGGGCAAAGACACCCGTGTTGTCCCCATCGGAGGTGCACGTGCTGTGCTCTGGCCAGGTTCTCAGCACATCAAGGAGGTTGTCTGCATCACTGGCTCCACAGTCCTGCTCGAGCACATGATGGTCTTCCACATGGTCACTGCAGCTCTGTGGGGTGAGAGCTCTGTCTCATGGGGGTCTCAGACACATCCCCGTGGCCTGGGCAGCAATGGCAGGAGCTGAGCTGGCATTGCCAGCTCTGCCTCTGCCCGCTGCCCCTCACCAGCAGCAGCACCCAGGCGAGCCAGCCCTGCGGGGACAGGGCCCTGAGGGGGCATGGCATGGCAGCAGGCTTGGGGGCCGATGTAGCAGGGCTGGGAAAGGTCCCAGGTACACAGGACCCTGGAACTCTCTGTTGCTCAGACACCTGGGCAGGGCTGTGCAGGCTGATGGGCTGGGGAGCCCTGAGCCCTCTGGGCAAGTGGGCCCCTTACCTGTCACACGTTGGGGCCACACGCAGGAGAGCAATGACCACGTCAGTGGGCTGTGCCTCGGTCAGATCCAGCAGGGTCCTGCCCAGCCTGGAGTCAGCAGACTCATTGGCCATGAGCCACTGGTGGATGTACCTCACCACGGCAGGCACCTGGAGAAGGCACAAGGGGAGACTTGGAAAGCTGCCAGAGGGAGTCAGGAATGTCCCCAGCATCTCCAGAGAAGTGCTTCCCTTGTCACCACGCTGCAATGGCCTCAAAGGCTTAGAGTGATCAGCAGGCGTGGCTTGGGAGGCCAAGCGATCCCTGGAGAATCAACCCCTGGCCACAGGCTGCTTACTTGCTCTGGAATGGAAACACCCTCCTCCAAAATGAATTCCAGCATGGCAGCACTGGTGTCGCTGGTGTAGACGTCACCATCTTCCATGGACCCAGTGCCCATGACGCTGGTCTCTTCCTGCCAAATG